GGCTCAATCATCGACCATTGCTGGCGCTCAAACCTCAATAGAGCTGAGGGGCATCCGCCAAAGCCTGCCACTCTTTGGGAGGCTCATTCGCCATCTCTCCTCCTCCTCTTTGACTAACTCGACTTGTCCCATGCATCGATTCATTGAATGTGCTTGCAAAGTGCATAATCCTCAGCGCTATGACGCACCAGTTTTTTCGGGGAACCTCAAAATAGTGTTTTTTCAACAGAATGCGCCCAAGGGGAGTTCGGCTGCGACCTCAACCGTTGCCTGCCCATGAGTAGCCGATGCGATGGACTGAGTGATTGTGAGGATGAGACCGATGAGCAGGAATGTTACAGTAAGTTGCCCGATTTTTCCGCATTTTTCCGGGTTTTAGCCGGTTTTCCTGTTCCAGGCTGCAGTGGAGACGCTTTCCATTGCGACAACAGCAAGTGCATCCAGACGGAGCGAGTGTGCGACGGCGATCCCGATTGCAGGGACGGCTCCGATGAAATTTGCAAAGGTAAACATTGAAAATATCAATTTATTAAGAAACTAAGCGCGAGGCAACACATTAATCAAACCTTTGGCGTTGTTCTCCAGCAGGATTTACGAGCAGTTTTAAGCGCAGAATTTAGCGGGTATTCGAGATCTTAAGGAAATAGAGCGCGTTTCTGCTGAAAGTCACTTGAGCAGATGCGCCCAGTCTGGATAGAGTAAGGCGCAGTCCTGGATGGCCCCTAAATCCACCAAAGTTGCGGGCTCTTCAAACTTGATCAGATGTTGTTTCATTGCGGTTTCAACTCGGTCCAGATCGAAGCGGATCGAGTCCATGTGGATTTGGGTTTTGCCCGATTGTCTGACGGCTAATTTTCCCAAAGTTCCTTCTGGCAACGTGCGGATGCTTGGGGAGTTGGATGGCAAATGGGGCATTTTCCACAAGCTGAGCTTGGGGTTTTTTTCCAAATTTTGCGCCATTTATTAACTTTTTCACTTTATATGAAAATGCAGGATCTTTGACAGTTTGTCAACCAGAATGTCAAAATGTCAACTCAAAGTTCTGACACTTTCTTGACACGCTAGACATTGCCGTAGAGAATTGTTGCATTGTTGCCAAAGATGCAACAATGCAACATGTAAATTTGCCTAATTAAAGATTCGTTGGAATTGAGTGAAACTTTGTGGATGTTGGCCTTAAGGCTTTGGCTATTAGCAGCAAAAGTTTCAACTTTTTACCAGCACCAGGATAGGAGGTGTGAATTTTTAGATCTGGGCTTGTACAAAAGCAAAAAAAGTTTTGAAGGGTAAAGTTTGAAAATTCCTGAAAACTCAACAGCCACGGGAAATTGGTTGAAGCTGTTCCTCTATTGAAAACGACACCTTGTTTATGAAGGCGTGAAATTTCAGCCGCATAGCTGTCCACATTTGGGAGTTATGAATTTTTTAAGGCAGGCTTGTTTGAGTTAGGAAAATGAGTTTTTCTGCGACAATTCAAAAATTTTTCAAAACATAATGGCTATCTAGAATTGGCTGAAACTTTGCGTGTGTTGAGTCCAGGACATCGTCTATAAGTGCTGGAAATTTCATGAGCTTTGCTTGTCACCGGGAAAAGTTATGAATTTTTAGAGACCGGGTTATTTGATTGAAAAATATGAATTTTTTTGCCAGAATGGTGGGAATTCAACGAAACTTCACACATTAAGCGCGAGGCATCTTATATAGATCTGGTAAAATTTGCAATTTATTTTCGGTGCAGGGGAGGAAGTTATGCATTTTTAGAGGCAGGCTTGTTTGATTTACGAAAATGAGTTTATCTGGAAGCAAAAATTAATGAAGTTTGCGAATTGATTGAAACTTTTT